GTAAAAGGAACAAATACAGTATATCATATAGTATATTATATAGAAAAATTGTCAAGTTGTGAAATCTGCAAATTATCCACAGTACAGTATAAGCTCTGTCTTTCTTCCTTAGTTTTCTGGGTTGATGCTCGGTTTAGAACCTCCAACAGTTCCATCGTTCCCTACGATTCCCTGCGGTTTCCAAACAGATGCTTTCAGCATCCTTCAGTCCCACAAAAACCGTTGGAGAGTCCGGGTACAATCCCTAGATCACCCAAGCTGCTGACCTGGCCACAACAAAAACTGTTTCTGTGATCGAGCGGCACCACGTCGTGGTCCGCTTCTGCTCCATCGGCGGCATCCAGATCGGGCAGGTGAAAAACATGGAGCACCTAATGAAGCGCCAAGCTTTAGGTGCGACAGCTGAGATTTGTTTGTGCAAGGTGCTTTTTTTTGGGGGGGGGTAGGCCGGTAGAGGTAGTAGCTAGAGGTAGCTAGGTAGCCAACACCTTACTTTGGCTACTAGTATGGAGCGGCGGCGGGGGAGCTTCCTTGAAGAAGCGCTCGCACCAATGATTTGGTTCCTAGATGTTCCTAGATTTTCCCCTAACAGTGTACTGTTAGGGTCAGGGTTCTATGATAGGAAAAAACCCTGTGGCTTGGCACCACAGCACCAGCACCACCAGGAGCGCTAGCAGGAGCACCAACACGAGCACCAGCACCACCAGCACCACCACCACGAGCACCAGCATCAGCACAAGCACCACCAGCACCAGCATCACCAGCACCACCGTGCAGCACCACCAGCGGCACCAGTGGCTTGGCTCTGTGCCCGGGTCTTGTCTTCCTCTTGTCCTTGTCTTGGCCGCGCCCCTCAACTCTGTGGCCTGGCTCTGTGTCCAGGTCTTGTCCTCCTCTTGTTCCCCAAACAGTTTACTGTTGGGGTTCTATCTTAGAAAAAAGGGGCTGGCCACACTGACTGGCCGCGCCCCTGAACTCTGTGGCCGCGCTCTGTGGCCGGGTCTCTTCCTCGTCTTGTCCTCTGGCCGCGCTGACCAGACCTGGACACACTGACTGTGAACTCTGTGGCCGGGCTCTGTGACCGGGTCTTGTCGTGCTCTTGTCCTGCTCTTCTCTTGTCCTCTCTTATGGCCGAACAATTAGCCATGTCGATGCCAGCAATTTGCTCTCGGGGGGAAGGTAGGGAGTAGCAATACATCGTTGTTGACTAATATTGGTTGCAACGGATCGTTTTGAAACTGTTTGAGGTCTATGCTGGCATAATTAGGGAAACTCAACTCACCAAAGTCAACCCCCAAATCTTTGAACATCATGGAGCCAAGCGGTACGAGTCCACTGTGGTTTGCTCTTTCAAAGCAGTCTGACTCAAGAACAATCGGCAGGTCTTTTGACAAGCGTACTGCAAGCATGCATTGACCAGGAGCACGACTCAATAGATATGAGAAAAGTGCAATCAACTATATATATCTATACTCCTTTTACGGAAAATGTCTGAAAACCATTGCGAAACTAGGCTCTGTTAGGCTCTGTTAGGTGGACGCCCTATGGCGGGCGGCTGGGGTGGCACACGTCAGACAGTGCCCCGCAGCAATCTCCCCACTTGCGCCAAACATAGCCGGAGTGGTGGAGATGTAGATGAAAAGGAAAAACAAAGATACGGACAGGTAATGAACACTATGAGAAGTAGGTATAATTACGGCAGTGGGAAGTGGAACCAGGGCCCCAACCAGAGCACATGTGGGCGCCAAAAACGCTGCAAACATGCTGCCTTCACTACAAAAGCAGCTCAATCTAAAGCGAGGAAACCCGCGACACGTCGTAATGCACCTGAGGTCGCAATTTTTTTTCAAAGCCGCATGAACCTGAGCAGTACAGCGACCAACGTGGAGGATCTTCTGATGCAAAGGCTCCAACTCAAGCACCGGTTCAAGCCACCACTCCCAGCACAAAGCGTGGGAGACCACGGCCGTGCACCGATGGAGCAGATGGGCCAAGGTAAGTGGGTGATTAGCCGAGATCCACGTCAAAGCTTTGGTGGCCAAACACTCCAGAGGGAATTTGCCCGGAAAGGCGGGAGAGGTACCAAGCTCGAGTATAAAGCCACTCACGTTTACTCCAGTGGGCCGATGCATCCAAAGAAGCATCACGCAGCCAAGGAAATAAAATTTTCTCCTGCGATGCAAGCCAGTCGCGATCAAATTGCAGGAGTTTGGGAAGTACAGCCGTCCGTATCCAAAGGCGCACCTTAGACTTAATGGAGATCGTTGGAGTCACATGCTGAGCAAACTCAATGAAGTCCTCAGAGATCCCAAATCTACGCTCCAATGGCAAGGAATCATCTAACCACGTCGCTCCGGGCACTCGCCGTGCTCCTTCCAGGATGCCGGGAATGGCACTGTGACTGGGCACCATAAGTAACCTAGCCCTGGCGGACAAGATCCGCAAAGCCACCTTGGTAGCAAGATGTAGGTCAGTACCTAAAGCACACAAGACCCGGGCATAGCCCCCTGAGCCAAGGGAAACGCCCTCAATATTTAGTATGGCTTTCAAGGCCCTATAGTGCGCTGCATTAAGCCGTTTAGACACCTGCAGCCACCCTACTGCTGCACTGGCCAGGGGTTCGGTGCCATGTAAAACTGAGCTTTCAACCCTTATGGCCACCTGCTGAGTGTGGTGAGGGAGCCCAATGCCTAGATCACGTAGGGAGACACAGAGCTGGGAGGTTTCCTGTATAAAACGAGCGCGCGTGACTTCAAGCAAGTGTGCGAAGCTAAGATTGCTGTCAAAGGTGGGCCCAAGCACACTGAAAGAGGAAACCAAACCAATGGCAGCCCCATCGAGACTGGGAAGGTTAGTGGAGCTAGGTAGACTAGCCGGAACCAACATCAAGGCCACCTTGCTTGGGCCAGCAGCAAACCTGTCTTTCCACAATTGCCAAAACTGTTCCAAGGCCTTACATACTCGATTCATGCCCCACAGCGTTGAGAAACAAAAACGTCATCAACAAATTGAAAAGCTAGCAAGGAGTGGGTGGCTAGGACGTCCAAGGCAACCAAGGCTGTCTCCAAATTCGTGGAGCGAAGCAAGGTAGAGTAATGTGACAGTGGGGCAGTTCCACGCCATGCCTGAACTAAGTAGGGTACGATATTAACCTCAACGTCGCCGGACGGTCTGCTGTGCAGGAGAGGTGTCAAGGGAGACACCAATGACACTCTGGCGCAGCTGGTCCGGGATACCTCTGGCCAAGGCACCAAAAAGATGAACAGCACGACGGCCACCTTGTCCAAGTCCAGCAGTGACTAAAAGAATGGCAGGGCCAACCAGTGGCCCGCAACGGATGCGAAAATGATCCTGCTGTACAGCGGAGTCAAGACACAACCACAACGAACCACGAATGCCAGCCCATCGGGTGTGAAGTAACATTGCTGACTTCCATGCCAGATCGTAACCTTGGAGAAGATCAGCTTTGAGACAAAATGTTGGTAGAGACCAATTCCGACGAGTCTGGAGCGCAATCAAAATACCTAAAGAAACCAAAGTAATATCAAATCGGCCTCCGGCTTGTTCTTGGCCAATGTAGGTTTCAAGAAGGTGGCGGCATGAATGCAACCAGGCCAAGTCCAATAAAGTTTGAAGTTCGTCAGTATAGCTGATCGGTCTAAGATTTTTCATCTCCGTAACAACCTGGGGGCCCCGTTTCCTGATGAAACTCACCTCGCGCATCCATGCCGATGGAACGACGCCCAGGGCCATAAAGAGATTGAGTAAAAGCCAGCAGAGTTCGAGCCCTAAGGGGTTCTCAATTACCAAAGCAGCTCTGGGAAATCTTAATGAAGCCTTATGTCGAGAAATGTCACTCACCCACCGTCGTCAAATGCAAAAAACATGTGAGGTTCAGTGGCCGCTTCCTGCCTGGCAGTAACACGCTCAGCCTGTAAGGCCTCATGCACAACCTCAGTGAAAGTATCACTGCCTGGATGAGCCTGGCTAGGCCGCTCAAGAATTTCTTGCGTCAAGAGTTGTACAACAGTGCTATCAGAGGCCCTGCGGACAGATGCTTCATCAACAAAGTTGACCTCTGTAGCAACCCTTGGGTTGAGCAACATGCTCAAAAGAGCCTGCGCCCTGCTGGGGTCCATGGCATGGGAGTCAAGAAAGTGCCGAACCAAAGAGGGGCTACCAGCTCTACCAACCTGGGATAAAAACTCCTCATATTCAATCGTGTTGCTTTGGCACTGAGGACCGTACCATTCAAGCAAAAACTTTTCCATCTGAAAGGCCTGGAACCCATAGGTTGAGGAATGTGGTTTGACAGTGGCGGCCAGACCACACATGTGACCGGCTAAGCAAAGAACAACAGAGCGCCACCAAACGGCTCTGTCGACAACTGCTTGCCGGAGACGTTGCCATTTCCCATCGACTACTGAATCCCGGAGGAAATTTTCACGTAAAATCATCCGAACCCATGTACAGATATACTCCAACCACAAGGGGACATGCAAGAGTGCCTCATTCCAAGCATCACTGGAAGGAGACCACTTTGCCTTGCCAAAGGTCTGCCGTTCAGCATGGGGTATACTCCCAACATCTGTAATTAGGAGCGGTCGATGATCAGAAGAAAAAAGAAATTCCGTTTTAGGCAAGACCTCAACAACCGGTGTGATTTCATGCGAAGAGAAGACTAAATCAATGGCAGAACCCGAATCATGTGTGGCGATCTGGAAAGGGTTCCGCAAAACCAGGTTCATGCCCACAGTGCTGACGATCATGGCGGAAATCTCTCGATCAACGGGTCTTTCCAGTCGTGCATTTTTATCACAAAGTTCTGCTATATGGATGTTCAAATCACCTGCCAAAATTACAGGTAATGATGAAAAAAGTCGTTCAGTGCGGAGTTTTTGGAGGTCAGCAGCCCGCGCTTCAAAAAACTCACGGCGTTCGAGCGGGCTACGGTTGAGGGGAGGGGCATAAGTTGCCAAGAGAAGGAAACCACGCGCATTGCCCACCGGGATGTGGACATGGAGCCACATTGCCCGCGCATCCCCCCACTTGAGCTACCACACTGACTTTGTCAAGAAAGTCTGTAGAAATCAGGAGAGCCACGGTATTATTGCGGACAGATCGTTCACCAAAAAACTCATAGCCAGATCTTTGGGGCCAACGCATGCCGGGGCCAAAACATGGGTCACTGATGATGGCTGTGGAGAATTTGGGAGGTATGCAAGGCTGTAACCAGCTGCCAAATACGGTCGTTTTGAGCTTCCTGACGGCTGGGCGCACTAAGGGCACCTCGTACATTCCAACTCAGTATTCTCAGGCCACAAATCGAGTGCGTGGCCAGGCCTGGTTCACGTGGCACTTCACTTGTGGCTATTCCACCCTCCCATGGGCCAAAGATGGTGTTTAAAGCTAAGCCACCGGCCACTGAAGCTGCCCTTCGGTCGAGAATGTCAAAAGTTTGGCCGATTGCACGGTCAAAAGATTTATACGAGTCAAGATCCTTGCTAAGGTTAGAGAGTCCGTGAGGCGGCGCAGACCTCCGCAGTGCCTGAATGTCTCTTCTGAGTACCAAAGCCTGCCAAGGTGCAGATCCTGTCACTGCACAAGGCAAAGGAGCTCGTGACAAGTTCAGCAGCTTCTGTGGAGCTGGCATCGAAAGCCTCCGCCTCCCTCCTGAT